GTTTATAAACAACAGAAATTTATTTCTCACAGTTCTGGAGACTGGGAAGTTCAAGATCAAGGGGTCAGCAATTCAGTGTCTGGTGAGAGCCACTTCCTAGTTCATAGACTTCTGTGTCCTCACATGGTAGAAGGCGGAAGGGTGGCCCTCTGGGGCATCTTTTATAAGAGCACCAATCCCCTTCATAAAGGCTCCACCCTCATGACCTACTAACTTCCCAAAGTCCCCACCTATTAATATCATCATAATGGGGGCTATGTTTCAACATATGAATTTTGCAGAGATACAAACATTCAGTTTGTTACAGTTGCATATTTAACCTGGGTGAATGTTATGATATGCAAACTATACCACAATAAAAACTAAACTTTTTCTAATAACAAATTAATATAGAGTCATTTTCACTCATGCAAATTCTCCTTTAACTTAGCTCCTATGCACTGGCTCTTAGGAAGCTAATTAAAGGTGCCCCAGGAAAAAAATGGAATAAACCAACAGTCTTTAAGACAAAAATCCAGGAGAAAAGAGACCCAAAAAAGAGAGAAGTATAAAGAATCATCACAACAAGGTATAGAAATCTCAGCTGGAAAGCCAAGATGCAAATGTAAAAGGCAACCAGTCCAGACTACAGCAGATTGAAGGAAACCAGAGATCTCTACAAAAAGGCAAAAGTGACAGAAGACTCAAATGTGTTTGAATATAATGAAATACAGGACAAGTTTGTGGATAAATGAGTGGTATATACACGGAAAACCAAGCAAACCAACAAAAAAAGGCAATTTTTAGCTATACAGGAAAAACTAGTGCAGGAAAGTAAAGTAATCTTAGGTGACATGACTGCTGAGAATAGCATTCACACTGTGATCGTAATAAAATCCCAAATACTGAGCTAAGCCAAATTATGACATAGTGACAGTAGTATGAAGGGAAGTGAGCATTTGTACAGTGGTATGGCAAGGAGGGCAATGACACAGGTCATCTTTCAGAAAGGCAAGTTGATAGAATAAAAGGAAAAATCGAGAAGGGCCAACACAGGGTTGTCTATGAAAAAAACTTAAAAAATATTAAGAGACAGCAATAACAATTAAAATCAGTCAGAACCATCAATGCGAGGCTCACGTGCGAGGGGCGGGCAATACCTGTCCCTGATCAAAGGCAGAGAAGAGCTTTTCTCCCATACTCCCACCTTCCCTCCCGCGGTAGTGCTGGGTGTTCCCTGCCCAAAGCTGCAGTTTCACACACACATCAGTTCAAAGAGTTTTCCCATTTCTCCTGTATTTCTTTTTCCTTTCTTTCCTTATTTTTTTTTTCCTGGGATAGGGAGGAAGGGTTGGTATTGGATCAAAAAGCCAATAACATGTTAATGTGACTATTTCAAACCCCATAATTTTATACCCAGGTTAAAATTCTGCATATATAAGTTCTTCTTACACCCATCTAAGAATTCAAAGAAATACAGGACCCTTGGATACCTCTCAAAGGTAAGTTTTTGATTAAAAATAATAATAATAACCATAAGGTGAATCAAAATGAAGAAATGATCATCATGAAGCTATAGTAAATGCTGATGATGACCATGAAAACAAGTTAAAATACAAAAGTAAAGTGAAAACACTTGTGGACTCACACCTGAAGAAAACAAAGTAATGTTACAATAATGTAAAACTAGTAATAAGAACAACAAAAATGAGTTAAGGAAGAAAGACAGCAGGATTACATATACATATGCCAATTTCCATTTGTTTTTGTAAAAGGAAAACAAGACATCCTTTCAAATTGGAAAACAAAGAAATACGACAAAAAGATAGATGGTTTCAACAATCATTTCTCTTCTATTTAGAACAACTTTTAGGAGCTAATACCTCTAGAAATTAGAAACACTCATTTAACAGTTCAGCAGTTTCATCATTTTAATTTCTTGTTTTTCTGTTAAATATAAATCAAATAAGTAATTCAAAACATCATATAGAAAAATAAAGAGCAATGAGAAAGGAATAATCCTACTGGATACTGTATTTTAATATATAGATGTAACATCTAAAGCCTCCAGTGGAGAAATAAATGGTTGAGATAAAAACTTGGTATGGAGAGTACCTTCCCAACAATGTATACTCTTTTAAACCATTATGGGTTTTTTTTTTTTTTTACTAACTATTGCCAATTCTTGGTATTATAATTCAAAATAAGAAACAAGTTATTCAAGCAAAATCACATATAATTTACTTTTTTAAATATCATTTCAATAAAATCATATGTTTTGGTAGAGTGTTTCTCTAGCCATCTTTCATAAGAAAAGAGAAGGAAACGGGAAAGATGAGTGCAGGTGGAATATGTGTGAACTGCTATTACAGGAAGTGAATAGAGACCATTTCCATCAAAGGAAGTAACATGATAAAGGCACACAGAGGTCATACTGAATGGCACTTTTAGGGAAAAAGGACAGGAGTCTCTCGAAACTAGTATATGGAGATAGTAGCATTGGCAGGAAGGAGGGATCAGAAGGAAGCTTACAGCCACAGAGAAAAGGGATTTGTGAAATGCAAGAGCATTTGAATTTTATCTTTAAGTACCAGAAAACCAGTGACTTTAAAAACAAACATATAGGAGGATAGCACAGATGATTCTGAAACCTAAATTCTGACCAGACTGAAAACAAAACCAGTCAATTGAACCAAGTATTATTTTCTACCTGTGACTTTCTCAGTGTTACATCTCTAAAGAGAAACTGCATTTGCTATTTCAAATTTCACTCTTAAGGAAATCTAGCAAACTGAAAATGCTGCTCACATTTCTGTTTCCAGAAAAAAACATGTAAGTTCTGAAGCTAGAAAAGTGACAGTTCAATCAGGAAATTTCAAGGAAAAAAAAGAAGAAAATTATAGTCCTACAGGCTCAAACTGAAACACTAATTAGAGATAACATATATCACAGAAGATAAAGGATTTGGTGAATGTGCCCTAAGTATTATAATTTAAGGTTAGTAAAGAAATTTGAAAGGGAAAATCTACTATTAAAAGAACATTTGAATTGTTTAAACAATAATAGAAAGAAGTCTGAAAACTGCAAGAATGGCTTTCTGCATATTACGAAATCCAAGATTCTTCTTTCAGGCTCCCATTCAGTCACAGCCACCACCACCAAATATCCCCCCCATCACACAGTTGCTTCTAAAACATCAAAGTTAATTCATCTGGTAACTGACAGGATTACTGTCACTGGAAGTAAATGCACAGTAAAGTAATATTATTAAACACTAGATGAGAGATGCACATTAAAGTGCAGTACTAAATAGCACAGAATTAGGTCCTATCAGATCTAATATGATGAAATTCTTAATGGATTTAATTGTTTTCCTGAAACTCTTTTATAATCTTTTTTGAAGCTATAGAACATAATTTCTTGGTAAGCCATCCAAGATACAAAATGTAAACATAGGTACTTAATGATTTTGACTGCATAAAATTATTTCTAACACCAAAAACAACCATGGGACAAACTTGAAAGACTTATGGGCTGAGATTAATGAATCAGAAACAAATGGGGGGGAAATGCAAAAAACTATAAGAACACAGTAACACAGTGCCCTAAAAAAAGACACTGGATATTAATTCTGTAAATTCTGATAAGTATCCCAACTAAACAATCTCTTATATCTGGAACAAAATATAAATGTTTTATAGTCACTTCAAATTGCCTTGAGAATCATATTACAGACTATTATTCTCATCCTAACATAACAGTCTCAATTTTAATAAAAAATGATTATCCAGCCAATTATCTAATTAGACATATTTCATTATAGACATATTTTCAATCAAAATCAAATTAGTCTCCAAAAGGCAAAATTCTATTACTTCTAAAGATACTCACATCAATAGAATACAGGCTAAAACAATGATTTCAAACAGAAGTATCATAAGTTTTGAGCAACAACCACTGAGGTTAATACTTACACAAACTCTACAAGTATGTATGATATTGGTCTCAAATGCATCTGGATACATAAATTCTACTACAGTAAATGAAAATCAGTCCCATGGTGTAATCTCATAAGCATAATTTGACAAAAGAAGGCAGCTAGATACAAAAAATGATATATGATCCCACTGATTTAACATTTAAAAAACACACAGGAAAAATTAATTATGCTGCTTAGGTGTGCATAATGAAATGGGAAAACAGTAAGAAATGAAAGGAGGTGTTAAGCATCCAGTCAGAATAGTAAACAGCTCTAGGAAGATGGAGGAAGAATAACAGAAGGGGAAGAAGTTGGTGGGTGGGGAGTAAAAAGTGCTGGCATTTCGTTACTTCTAGATCCAGTTGACACTTCACATGGAGTTTTTGCTATAATTATTTTTTGACTACACATTTGTGTCCTAAGTACTTTTCTGCATGTGTATTTTAGTTTACAATTTAAATTAAAAAGGCAAGAAGGAAGCAAATAAAACCACCAGTTATAGCACCAGTGGGTTCACAAAATCTTGATTGCAATGGAAGAATTATGTCCCTAAAGTCAACAGTTCCAGGGGCAGCCACTTGATTTCTCAACCTCTTAACTGCAACAGAGGTGGCAGTTCCTCCAGAAGCTAGGTTGGGTGGTTTAGTTCTGGGAGTCATTCCTGAAAGTTCACTCTAGTACCTGTCCTGCCAACATCCCTTCCAAAGATTTTTAAGTACTTAATCCTTTCTATTTATCATATCTAGAGTAGTTTCTCGTAACAGCACATGAATCCTACCTAATGCGGTTTATCAAGAGACATTCAAGGAAAACCCCAAACTAGAATTTCCAATATGAAGTATTAACAGTACCAAAGTAGAAGGGCTAGACACTAACCATTAAATTAACCTGATACTTAACTGTCATTCCTAACAGATGTCTTCACCCAAGCATAAAACTGAATCTTTAACATTCTATGGAACTTATAAAACAAAAAGGGGTAGGAGAGTAAGGGCAAAGTATAAAGGCAACAAGAGGAATGAAAAAGAAGAGTTTTTGTTACCTGAAGTCTTGTATTCATTTCTAAGAAATAAAAATTTTTCTTGGCATCCACAAGGAATTCTACAGTTCCAGCAGAAGAATACTTCACTGCTTTTGCAAGAGATACAGCTTGTTCTCCCATTGCTCTTCGAGTCTCAGAATCCAGAAAAATGCTACAGATACAGAAAGAATAATCTACATTTTGAAAAACCAATCTTTTGTGTGCATTACATAAAATTTTTCTTAATGTTTACTCAGATATGATCATTTATTAAGATTGCATATTATTGCCAATAAATGTTTATTATGCATAACATGCTTAATATATCAAGTTCAGATTTTTATGAAACTCATATTTAAACTTTGCATGTGATAGTGCAACTTCAATCAACTTAAAAGATATGCAACTACTTTAACCCAAGTAAAAATTTTACTTGTTTTCAACAAGTAAAATTTAACCTATATATTCATAATTTCTCCAAGCTAAAATTGGGAGATATGTTTTATAGAGAAAACAGGTGCATTAGATGAGCTTCATTTTAATGCATGTGTTCTAGAGCTGCTGGCCAGGATTGTAAATTCAATGTTAATGAATCAACAATGCATATTAAGTAAGGTTTCTTTCAACAGAAACACACATAAAACAAGGTTATTTTTTGATTCGTTGATGAAAATGTTCTGACTATAGGCTTGCAGGAACCTACCTCTATATTTCCTCTAGGAGCAATGCTTCAGTATTCACTAAATTCTGTGTTCACAATGATTTTATAGAACATAACTACCACAAGCAACAAGAGTCAACTATAAATCCTTAAAACTTTTGTTTCACAATACCAAAATCACCTTCCAGCAGGCCAGTAAAGCTGAAAAGTTTTCAATAAACCCTGAAAAGAACATTATTAGATCATTTCTGCATTTTCATATTTTGCTTCAATGCAAGAAAGTCTTTGAGAAACAATAAATATTGACTACTTTTCCATTTGTGGATTAAAATTGTTCTCAAATGCGTAACACTTTGATGACATTGTATAAAATTATAATAGCATAATAAACTTGCACATATCTGTTTTCTTATGACTAACAATGACTAATATATAGCTACTCTTGTTTTATCTATGCTGCATGTCCACTTTTCTACTAGGCGCACCCATTTTTTTTAAATTTCAAAGCAAATCCCAAATTAGGTATCACTTCATCTGTAAAAACTTTTATATCTGTTCTATAAGAACTCTTTTGTAACATAATCACACTTTTAAAATTAACAAGAATTCCTTAACAGCATTTAACATTCAGTTAGTACACAAATTTCCCTGACTGTGTCAAAACATCTTTTTTGCAGCTAATTTCTTTGAATCAGGATCCAAATAAGGTCCAGCCACTGGATTTCATTTGTTTTTATATCTTTACAATTCTTTAACTTGTAATGCCCACTTCCCTTTTTTTAAACCAAGAACTTTGATCATTTTCCTATCTCATTCTTCACACTCCAGGGTCAGCTGCATGCAACTCCATAGTGTCTCTTAACATCCATATTATATTTCTATTTTTGATAAACTTCTGGTTAGATGTAGAGCCTTGAACAGATTTCAGGTTGGATTGGTCAGGGAGAGGCAAGAAGACTTCACAGGTGAAAGTATACTTCCTACCACTTCCCTTTTGGTAATGTTAGGATTAATCACTGGATTCAGGCATTATGAATCTTACTTACCTATTATAAACAACAGTTCTGCATCAATCTAACAGATATAGGCACAGATGACATTTCAACAATAACTAGTATTGGAAGTAATAAAACAAAAAAGAAAACAGAATTTGAAGAGTGGTGTGTCAGAGACTATTACTGTTCTCCCAGAATCCCTCATCCCTTTCTTCCACAAGGCTAGAATTTTACCTGAGTACATGGTTACTTTAAGGAAGAAAGATATTTCCCAGCCTCCCTAGCAAAGTGCCTAACTTCAGATCAGCACCAAGTAATCAACACTGGCAGGTTTTATAACCATTCCTAAAGACACAGGTAGAACATTCCTTTTGCCTTTTCTTCTTCCTTCTCACATTCTGGTCCTGGGCACTGCGGTAGAGGGCCACGCGCAATACAGGGGCTGCAGAGGGCCATTCTTCACAGCATGGTGGCTGGTTTTTATGCATAAATGTCCCAAGAGATTGAAGTGGAAGCTGGCACTTTCATCAGGCCTGGGTGCTGTATTGCTTCTACAGTGCCTATTGGTCAAGCAGTCAGCACACAGAATCAAGGGGAGGGGACATAGCTCACTCCTCCCACTCTTCAGTAAAAGAAGTAGCAAAGAATTGAAAACTATGTTTTAAAATCACTTCAACATACCACATATTAAAAAACTAATGTTAACTGAAGTAGGATTTGATTTTTATACCACTACCCTGACTGAAAATTCACTCATATTCATACCTACCCTTTTCAGGACTTATACATACATTATATCAAGGCATGCTGACCTTGCTGATTAAAGCTACAATCGGCTATATTCCTATTCTACCATGGCTATATTGCCTAGCTATTAATAACAACATACATTCAACTGGGGATTTTGAAGAATGAAGAGAAAACCAGAATATAAATAAATACCAACTTATTATCAAATTGGTAATGAAGTTCCATGACCTTGCTATACCAAACACATGAAAGGTGGCTTCGAGATGTGCCCAAAGTAGTTTCGATAAATCAAGGAATTTCTAAGACTCAGGCACCAGAAGGCTTTTCATGGAAAAGTAAATCCTAGAAATTCAGGGCCAACTTTCTGAAACCTTCAGAATAAGGAAAATCTAGGAGGCACAGATCCCAGAAATTCCACATGCCCAGGAACACCAGCAGGGTCTGTATTACCTAGAAGCCTGTGGAAGTCATAGTTGGTAATCCACCCAACTCTCTCTCCTCTAGTAAAACACCAACTTCTTTTTCAAGTATTCTCTCACTTTCATGCACTGAAGTACTGAAGAAAATGAAGTAGCAAATTCTTAATTGTAAAAATGTACATTAACAGATTCTACCATGACTGTGCAATTGTAGCCACTAAAATGGGAAAGAAAAGTAAAGAAGAAATGTATAAACTCAGCCTATTATAACGTTCACTGGGACGAACTCTTACCTTGGCGCCTCCTCAACCACTTTCTGATTTCTCCGCTGAACTGAGCACTCTCTTTCATTGAGCCACAAAGCATTCCCATGTTTATCAGCTAAAACCTGAAAGAGCATACCACTTGAAAAATTGCATAGCATACCTATAGAGTATGAGCTCAGTTAACATTTTCTCCATCGACACCCCTTGGTTTTTAACTCAAATTTCATAGAACATACATACCTTTCAAATGCATTCCTCATTTGCTTGATGTTAATAAAGGAAAATTTTATACTTATAACCCCACAATTCAATAATACACTTTTACTAAAAAGACAAGGGAAAAGTCTCATGTTACATTTCCAGTACAATGGGTAGAAAATCTGAATCAGGTGTGTAAGTTTTGTGAAGAACATTAAGTGTCAATAAAGGAAATACACATTCTAGATATGAATGGTGCTTGGGAGACCATGAGTGTTATTACAAACAGCTGTTTGTTGTTAACGTTATGAGGTGTCTGTTGGTCAGGAAATGCTATTTTATTTACATCCGATATGTACTCTGTTACTTTTATGCAGGTATTTTTATTGTGTTTTATTTTTGTTATAGAAACTGATAAAAGGTCTGGGGCTAATATACAACATATTATGATTTTTTCCATTTGTAATAATGGGAAATAAACTAAGGTTGCCAGATAAAAACAAGATGAACCCCAGTTAAAAATGAATTTCAGAAAAACAACGAAAAAATTTTAATGAAAAATATCCCAAATACTGCATAGGACACACTTAACTTCAAAAAAAAAAAAAAGCTGGTCATCTTAAATTCAAATTGAACACGTATCTTATCAGCTATATCACCTAAAACACGTTCTTTGCTAATGTTCCTGTACAGGATGTTTGTTTTTCAGGAATAGATTCATCTATTCATCACGATTAAGGAGTAGATGCATACTATTGAATGCATATATTAAGTTTACAGAGGTAACAGCTATTCTAGAAGCCAAAACACTAGGCACTAATTTTAGCTCCAAACAGCTCTGCAACCTCCCTTGGCAAGTCACTCTGGTTCCTTTTGTATTATAAATAGGAGATACCATCATCTTAATATTTTATATAGGCACTGAACATATCAAATCAAAAAAGATCATGGCTATAGCATGTATAATAAACTATAAAATGAATAGTAAATATGTAGCTGCAAAGTTAACTTTGAGGAATAAAACCTAGCTAATCCTCAAGAATGATTCCAGACAAAGGAAAACATCACAGTAATGAAAAGCCAATAAGATGGGATTTTATTTCTAAGACTCAAAGGTAGCTGCATAAAGTACATCTAAATCAAAGAACTAGAATATATATTCTTATTTATTTAGATCTTCTTTAATCTCTCAGCATTCTTTTACAGTTTTGAGTGTAGAGATTTTATCTTTCATTAGATTTACTTCTAGACATCTGATAATTTTTATTATAAATATTATTTCCTAAATTTCATTTTTGCGAGCAGTCTACTTCACAAAATAAGATATCCAGGTGGTCAATTATAAACTTTTAAAAAGATGCTCAACATCAATACTCATCAAGAAAACATAAATTCAAACAAAGAGACACTGTTACATGTCCATCAAAATGGCTAAACATGAAAAAACTGAGAACACCAAGTGTAGAAAGGATCGTAGCAGAAACTTTCATATAATCACTGATGGGAGCACACATCAGGACAGCCACAGTATCTACCAGAACTGGACCCAGCCTTACCATACAATCCAACACCACCTCTCCTCAGTATATCCAAAAAATGTTTCTGTCCATGAAAAGACATAGCAGTTTATCCATAAATATCAAAAAAAACTGGAAACAACCCAAAGATCCACCAGAAAAATGGCTAAACTGTGAGTTATTCAAACAAAGAAATGCCACCAGAGCAATTCTTAAAAGTAAGTAACACACAACCTCATGGAAGAATCTCAAAGATATGACGTGTCAAGAAAGCCAGACACAACCAAGTACATGTTGTATGGCTCCATATACATGAAATTTAAGAAGATACAGAAATAATCTGTGGTACTAGATGTCAGAGCAGCAGGCACCTTGGGTGGGCATGGGGAGGGACTGACTGTGAAGTGGTATAAAGGAATCCTCAGGTGTCACAGAAACATGCTATATAGAGATCTAGCTGGTTGTTAACAGCTATTTGTGTGTGTATAAACATTTTACTGAGCTCTTATGATTTGTGGACTTCTTGAATAGATATGATACCTCAATTTAGTGTGTCTAAAAACAAAAAGCCACGACTACCACCAACAAAAAAAACCCTGCTAGCCTTAGAAAGAAATATATTATGTTCAATGTTTTAATACTACTAACTTATTACATGTTTGCACATCTTCTCCCACTCTGGAAATTTGGAGGATGTAAATGAGTATTTTCTATCCATAAGTAGTATCTACATAAAATGATTATTAAACTTTAAAAACACAGTGACAGAATCTAGGACTTTGTATTAAATTAGGCTCATCAGAAGTTGGGCAAGGGCAGAAAATAACCTTGGATTTAGTTTAGTTTTCATGTAGTTTTCTGGTTTTCTATGCACACCAAATTAAGAGAAAAAATATACTTAAATTACAATGTAATTTCTAGTTTGATATCTATATTTTACCAATTTTAATTGTTACATATCAATTCATAGCCACAATATATAAAATTAGAACAAAGATATTTCTAAGAGAAAAATGAAAATTTCAGTACTTTTCTTTTTGTTTTATTTCAGAAAACCCATTTATTTTGCTAAAATCCATACCTGCAGAACCACTGTAACAGTTGGATGAAAATCTTAACTTGAGTAGAAGAAATTATTTGTTCATCCCTATACTAGCAGCGCCTAGCAAAACACCCATCACAGGGAGCGACGTGGACATTTGGTCAATTGAAAGACAAAGGAGTCCAGATCAAGCACTTTTCTTTTAAAAATGCCCCCAAATGACCCAATCTTACAAGGGGATTCAATGAGTCTCTGGGTGAAATATGGTTAGCCTGGTCACACACCTGGGGACTGTTTCTTTCTTAAACAGGGTTTTTGTATCATTCCCCATCCCGACCAACATCCTGGCACTTTGACAAAAAGTGTAACAGACACCAAAGATAGATTATCAATTTATGTACATTCTCTATTTCAAAATGACTTAAATATACCAGATCAATCCACAATCATTCTAAATGGAAGAAAGGATGTATTTCCAGTAGGAAGAAATTATTTTAAAGCCATAATAATTAGAAAACATTTTAAAATGCACCAACCTGGATTTCTATATGACGAGGGTTATCGATAAATTTTTCTATTAGTAACCTATCATCACCAAAACTGGAAGCAGCTTCTTGAGATGAAAATCTAAAACCATCTCTGTAAAGGAAAATAGGAAAACGGTCAAACTAGCAAAACAAATATAGCCTCAATATACAAGAAAGAAAAGAAATCAATTATTTAGTTAGGCTCATTTATGAACAAAGCAGAGAAAAATTCACTTAATGTACAAATAACTAAATCAACTTTGAACTTGAATGAGTGATCTAATTTCCCTGACTCCAGATTTGTATTTTAACAAACGATATAAAATTGCACTTCTTCAACCCTGATATACCTTAATTCCATTAATTTTTTTAAAAAGATGCATATTAATTTGACTCAGAAGTCAGAATATGCTCACAAAAATGCAAAAGGCCTAGCCAACTGCATGACTGGGGCACAACTGCAGTGAGAATAAAAACAGAAGAGAATATCCTCAAGAACATTTCCTGATATTTTAAATATAAACCTCCAAATGTGATTGCCTTCCACACACCCATATAGAGATCACTGCAATTTTATTGTCTTTAAAATTGTTCAAAATTAATATTTAATAGAGAAAAGTATGATTTTTGAAAATACAAATATGAATATAATTATTGCTTCATATATTTTATAGCCCAAGTTTTTATATAATTGTTATTAAAATATGCTTAATTTATACACTATAAAATGGGCTCAGTCACTCTATTAAAAACTCACACTTGCTTACCTAAAACTGAGTATATCATTTCCATTTACTGATATACTCAGAATACAAAATGTAATTCCTTTTACATGTAACTGATAGTCTCTTAATCTTCAGATTAAATACCTGTATTTAATGTGCAATATTAAAATTCTTTCAATCCTTTAATTTGCAAACACTCCTGTCTCATTTTTTTTTTGTACTTGAAAAATGCAACATGGCAAGTAACCATTGACTGGAAGGCAAATTTCAAACCATATTGGAAAAATTCCTATTTCTCAGAATTCTCAGAGAAAATATCAGGCTTTCTTAGTCCTTCATTACTTCCTTGATTTAGGGGAATGCAGGTGAGACCTCAGGAGACTGCAAACCTCAAAGAAACTAAAGCACAATGAATCACTGTTTTCAGCACAATGTAACCAACATTCTATTAGATAGGATAGCATGATTCACAAACAAAAAAGAAAACTTGGCACTTAACAGTTTGTCTCTGATACAATGACTGATAGCTCTCATTTCTCATTTAAACCACGAACACCAAAAGCAAAAAAATCCAAGTCACCCAAACAAATTATCAAGTTTGAAAGCATTATGAACATATCTGGAGCTCACGTAAAACAGTCTGAAGAACATCATTTGTTATACTCAGTTACACACTCATTCAATAAATATTTACTAAGCACAAAACTATGGGCTGGTGCATATTTAGGTGATGGGACTACAAAAATAAAACAGAAACTGCCCTCATAGCATTTCAAATCTAGTGGAGGTATTCCAAAATGTACACATGATCGATTTTCCATTCACTTCATAATATTTCATTTAATTTGAATAGGGAAAAGAGAGCCAGAGGATATGAAAATATGAGTCTACTTACAACAACCTTCATGATTCTCACCTTAATTTATTATATAATAATAACAAACACAACTTTTCTAAAAGTATTTCGGATTTTCTAAACATTTCTTGGAGAAGTTACAGATGTTACTTCTTTGAAAAACTTAGGAAAGATGTTACAAGAAGGAGACACTCTTTAGGACAAAATAATAGAAGAATTAATGGCTATTAAGTTTTCCTCTCAAAGAATTCTAAAATTTTTGTGGATTATGTAAAAAAATTTCTTCCTCAAGAAAGGAGGAAGGAGTAGATGCAGTGTGACATGATGTTAACAGTTGGTGGCTCTAGAAGATGAATACATGTTTTCTGGACTGTTCTCTCAGTTTTTATGTAGTTTGATTTTTCCAAATTACCAGAGAATACAGAACAACTTTTTAAAATGAGGCGCATGTATCATTACAACAAATACTATCACACTTGATTTCAATCATCTGTGGAGCATAAGAACAAAGCAAAAACTGAAGGAACAAAACAGCAGCAGATTCATAGAACCCAAGAATGGACTAACAATTACCAGAGGAAAGGGACTGGGGAGGATGGGTGGGAAGGGAGGGATAAGGGAAATAAGGGGCATTATGATTAGCACACATAACGTGGCGGGGGGCACAGGGAAGGCAGTGTAGCACAGAGAAGACAAGTAGTGACTCTACAGCACCTGACTACACTGATGAACAGTGACTATAATGGGGTATGTGGTGGGGACTTGATAATGGGGGGAATCTAGTAAAGACAATGTTGCTCATGTGATTATATATTAAGGATACCAAAATTTAAAAAAAAGTATCACACTTTTGTTCATCTCAATAAAATTTCATAGGTGGTTTATTTATCAAGTTGAAGAGAATAATATTTTAGGTAGAAAATTATTTGTGTGTATCTTTATTAATTATATGAGCATGTGTCATTTACTACCCAAAAAAGATTTAAATTATTAACAAAAAGATGCCCAACATATGAACAGATATAGTTACTTCTGAAAATACTGAATTCTTAATTCAAATCCATAGGTTAACAGCAGTACAGTAAATCCCATTGCCAAGAAACTAAAGAGTAATCCTAACCATCCATAAAAGTAGATGTTACAGCCCTGGAGAAGTGGCTGATAAGAAACCTGAGATCCTAAGAATAACGAAAAATAAACAAGAAGGTTTTCAGAGAAATTGCCATAAACAAAAGGGGGAAAACAATGAGAAAAAATTAAGGTTCATAAAATACACATCTCTTGCAAAACCATTAAGTCACATTTAGTATCTTTATTACATCATTTTTTCCTACCAAGACACTAGCACAAATTGTCTTTTTCCAAAAATGGCCACAATCTCCCATTTCACGTGCTTTTGTAAGAGCCGTGCCGCTCCCTTATGAAGAAGTGGGGTCTAACTCCCCTCCTCCTGCATTTAGGTGGGATTTGTGCTCATTGGTTATCAGTAGAATATGGTAGAAGAAAACCCGTATGACTCCTGCAACTGAACCGCAAAAAGTGATACAGCTCCCACGTGGATTTGAAATACTTGTCCTTGGACCTGTGGGTCACTATGTAGAAAGCCCAGTGGTACACAGAGGTTACACATAAAGCACAAGAGGTAGTTTCTACACCTGAACTTTGAAAGACAAGAGCAAAGACAGACAGACTGTGGTAAAAAGGGGCCTCAGTATTCCTCCTCCCCTTACACTTCCATCCACACAGAGCAACCAGCCGGCCCGTCTTCAAACATTTCTCACAGTCAACCAATGCTCTAATATAAGGCTAAGTCCCCACCAAACCAGGCAAAGAGTTCCAGAGACAGGCTAAGAACCAGACTATTCTTCAATTAAGCATGCTTCAATTTTGGAGGTAAAAGCCCTCACTCTGACCTTGACTTCTCAGCATTTCCCAAGAAATTTTCAAGAGCAGTGTTGCAGCACATGCATTTAGTTCATATAAATTAACATTAAAACTTAAAAGCAAGTAAGAGCAAAAAATGTAAGGTGACTTAAAACAGTTCTTGCCAGTCGTCCTCAAGGACTCAACACTCTACATCGTAATCATTCAGCAAACCCTGTTGCTCTACTTCCGGTTTTTCTTATCTCCTCCGGATCATGCTGGCCAAAGACACCAGGACCACTTCCCTTGCGTGGATCACTGCAACAGCGTCCCAACTGGTTTCCCTGATCGCAGGGCGCACAGTTCTCCCCCAACAAGTCTATTAACAAGATAGCAACCATAGTAATCCTTCTGAAACCTGTCACAAAATCTTGATAACTCATTAATCTGGATACATATATAGAAGTTAATTATATTTTACTTTTTTGTATGTTTGAAAATTTTTTATAACTAAAAAATGTACATAATGTTAAGAATTTGTTTAACTGCCATTGACTGTGACCTCTCTACTCAAAACCCTCCGATCACTCCCCATCTCACCAAGAATGGCCTACAGGGTCTACATAACCTGTCCCCGCTCCACCCGAACGTCCTCTGCCCCGCCTCCTGCTCCTCCTTCCTTCCACCACCACGGGGCGCCCTGGTGTTCCTGGATCTCTCTAGCCGTGCTCCTGTGCCAGGGCCTCTGCACTCGCTCTCCTCTGGCCTGGGTCCTCACCTCCTTGCTCAGACAGGCCTTCTCGGTGAGGACAGCCCTGACAATTCTGTTTCGAATGGGAATTCCCTCCAACACTCCCCAGGTCTCTTCCCTCCTTTATTTTTCTTATGTTATTTATCACCTTCCACAACATTATATGATTTACATTGATTTTTGTTCATTGTTTGTCTCTTCCTACCAGAACAGAGATTCTGAACCTTGTTTATACCACGGATCCCTTTTGTAGAATCATGCAGAATAAGAACCTCTTGTCCAAGTAAGGCTTAAAATGATATGAATTGCAGAAAAGAAAACGTGTAGGACTGACTGCATGCGATACAAATTATGTGGCAATATAGGCATCAAAATATTTTTTAAAAATAAATTTGGGATGTAATATATGTGGTTCTTTATTCACTAATAAATTCCAACAAGTGTAATAATCATTTTTAACTTGGAGATAATCTGCAACAACTACTATAAGATAATATATGTCATTTCCTAAATGGTGAAAAGTGCCACAGATACTGCTACTATTATAATACCTCTATTGGAGGAGACGCTAAATTACAGCTGAGGGTAGTGAAAGAAATATGTACTTTCTTTCCTCATTCAGATGCATGAACCTCTCCTAAATTTTATGGGTCCATGAATTTAAAGTTAAGACTCCTGATCTAGCATATAAACTGTATGGAAGAGTGGATTATTCTGTTTTGTTCATCGCTATATTCCTGGAACTTTACTAAAACAATGCCTGTCACACAGTAGGCTCTCAACAAATACTGCCAATCCATGCAATATATTTATTTCTGCTGGCAAGTTTCAGATCAGAGGAGAGAATCTGATGCTACCTCAGGCAATATCTAGTATTAGTGTCACTGAAAAGGAGACTTAGATGGGAAGACCTAAAGGTGTTAGTCATATATAAAGACATCCGTCATATATCAACCCCCACAACACAAACTGCTTACTTTTTCTGATACTCAACCAAAGAATCAATGATGTTCTGAGACACATTTCTTTTAGAGTTAAAACTACCTATAAAGTCTAGCAAATGGTGTCTTCCCATAAGATTTTAAAGGTTAATATATTGCCTATAGATTTTTACCTTATTTTTTCACTTTAGAACCTAATTTCTGAATTAGGTTTGTGCTGGAGGATTTTCACACCAACTACTCCAGATTCCTGTCTTTAAGAGATTTGGAAGAATGGAGAGGAAAGTAAAAGTAAACACCAGAAATAACCACTTGGAAGACCAAATACTTCTGGGTAGAAAAAGGGAAAAAAGACAACACTAAGAATAATTCAGTGACTTTTCACACACCTCCCAACAAAATGACATAAATCGCTCTTGTTGCCAAACCTGAAAATAAATAAGGCAAATCTGCATAGAGTCTCGTAAAACCTAGGTAGTTTTGTGTAGGTAGTTTTCTATAAATTATTTTCTAATCACCATGATGTCTGTCCATCAATGCCCTGAGAATCTTGTTTTAAAAGTCACTTTTGATTTCTAAAGCTACTAATAAAAAAGTGTTCTAAGTTTACAATGGAATGCACTGCATATAAAGAACATACAGTAATTTCAAACTCAAAAGGAAATGTATTTCACACTATAGAATCATCAAGGTAGTTCACTATTTTTATAGACAAGCAAAGGAAGGGAAGTGAATACTGAGCAACACAGAAACAAATGAAATTATGACTGCTTTTGAATATATATTTGGTTCAAATCTTTGATTACATTCAGAATTATATAGCACGATGCTAGTAATTTTTTCCTATAAAATAGAATCATGACTTTAGTAATCTTTTTAAGTACACTAAAAACAAAAAGACAATCCTTTGTTAATGCTTAAGAAAGGAAAACCTTTCAATAATAGGATATTCATCATCAAAATATAAATTAGTTTTCTGCATAATTTCAATTTTTTTCCCATCTAACAAAGAAAAAAATAGATGGTTACTGCAATTATTCTGTTATATTTTTGGTATCTGTTTACTTGTCAGTTTAATAAAAACTCTAGCAACTGCAATTTTCATCAAAAGTGTATTTTGGACAGCATCTCACCTGGTCTCTTCATCATCCCAAGCGATTCGCATGCCTTTCCCACCACCACCTGCCGAGGCCTTGATCATGACAGGGTAGCCTAACAGCAGGGGAGAGTCAGACATAAGTTCAAACTTTGATCATCTGGATGCATGAACATGACAACTGACCACATGTTCAATAACACAGAAGACAATAACTAACTTATTTAAAAGATACTTTCTTTAGAGTCAGGAAAATCACACCAGTATAATGATCTCATATATACATATATATATTTTTTAAAATGTGAGTATGATTATTTTAAAAGAAAAAAGCTATTTGTATCAATAACTATCACATTTTCCCCAATAATGAAATAAAAAGCTAAGAAAAATAAGTAATTTGAGATGAATTCCAAAAATGGAAGTAGATACAATATCAACTAACCAAAGATATAAGAAGCAACTTACAATGCATTGAGGAAACATACATACACAGTTCCCCAAAAATTGTTTGCATACCTAACAAGTTAAATGTGCTTAATTTCAAAAGTAATGATTTACAAGTACTTGAAATTTCTTCATCTGAAAAGTCACAGGGAATCCCTGCAGCTTTTAATAACAAAAACTGACATGATGTTTTTGAGAAAAATTAAGTCATGGCTATTATACTACGGGCTGGAGCAGAAGATGCAGGGCTCTCTGCTACTGACAGAGAAGCTATTCCATTCATTCAGAGGGGGCTGCCTAACTGGTAAGCATTTTGAAACTAAAAAGTCAGGCCTAAAACAGAACATTTCCAGCTAAAGTTTTAGAAAAGTAAAAGTCATAGGACTTTGTTAGTTAACAGGATTGAATAGATTCATTATTACAAAGTAAAAATCTTGACAGTGTGAGTCATCTCTAACAATTTATCAAGAAAAGTTGTAAAGTTTCCTTGTTCAGAGGTTTCTCTGAAAACAAGGTGGAGATACTCAATGTCTGAGCCCACTTGTTTATGGTCTTTTCTAAAGAAAGGAGAGGTCAGTGAGCCCTTAAAGGACTCTTGATGGCCTGTGAGGCTCTAGCAGCACTGAACTCTAGCTATAAGATCTTAGAAGAAAAGGGAAAAGAGGGCCAAATGTCACAGGCCTTTGACCCCTAAACCACAAACCATCACTCTTGACTTCAACTTAGTTAAAACTGCACTTGCTTCTAAGTGTTTCATAATTAAGTTTATTTAAAAAATTCTGATATTGATTGTATTTATATGGGATAGGTTTACATGGGACAGGATTTTAAAAGCAATGCTAGGTTCAGTGAGAGGAAGAAAGATTTTCACTTTGGAAGCCTAAAAATCTAGGAAGAAAGAAAGAGGTAATTCTATCATTGGGAATGTAGAAAACAATCATAGGAAGGTAAGAGAAAAGGGATTAAGAAAGCACAGTATAGAAAAGGCCATTTATATGAGGCTATGAAGAACGAGCAGGATTTGAACATTTTCAGCAGAATAGCAGTAACAAAACAGAAGCCAGGAAGCATGGGCCAAGTTTAAGAAATGACTGCAGCAATTTTAGTTGGAGTAGGAGTAGCTGTAGGATGGCAGAGGAAAGCAGAACTGAAAAACATAAATCAGGGCCCAAGTGTACGATATACTTTCGCACGCCTCAGATCCTGCACGAGAGTGACGAGAATAGTGCTCACCTAACTCAATGCTACAGCCTCACAATCAATGCCACAGAAAGGAATCAGGCTGAAATCAGCAAAGAAGAATTAGCCTGTTTTTCGCAATGAAGAAAACAGTATCTAAAGATTAGATCTTGTTATATTTAATTTCTCATTAGAAATGAGAAATTTCTAAGATCCCTTTTCCTCTAAGAGCCTATAGCTGAACTGCAGTGCTGTTAGATTTCTCATGCCTGAGAAATCATTTTTACAAAAACTTTAGGGTTCTTTTTAAACAAACACATCCATACCCACCAAAACATGTGTTACCGATTCATCATCAAAAAATGATTTATCCCTGTAAACAGGAAACCACAAGAGGTATGAGAGCCACATCCCATCCGTCCACTATTTTCAGTTCCTTCGGACAATGAGAAAATTTGTAGTTGTTCTGATTCCAGTATTAATGTCATTTTAGCCATTTACTATGGACCCAGACTATATAGTGATTTGTGAGGTTCAAAATAAGATTGGGAAATTGTGCTTGGTCAATAAGGAACTAGATGGGGAACCAAAACACATAAAATAATCTATCAACAAGAAATATATAATATGGCAATTACAACATAATTACAATATGTTCTCCCAAAAGGAAGCAATGCAGTATTAGACCTGTGAATACAAATAACCCAGGAAGGCACAATTCCCTGACAAAATGCCAAATAAGTCATTAAATTTCAGGCATATTTTTATGCATCACCATGTCATGGAAAAATAAGACCTAGCCATTTGAAAGGAAGAGTAAAGAAATTCCACACAGATTATGTTAAATATCAAAAGGCCCAGTTCCTCATGCCTATTTTCTTATTGTGTCTCTGCAGTCCTAACTAGGACTAAGTCATGGGGTACCAGGAACTAGAATAAAAAGAGAAAAAAAGATTCAACCAAAAGTTGACATTCCCAGAAAAATCATAAATGATCAAGTTGATGCCTATCACCAACCCTCACTTTACCTAGTCTGGACATGAAATTTTCACTGAGGTTCTCTCACATTTTTTAACCATACTTACACTCCAGTGTTCCATTTTTGTCCATTTAAGGCATTTCCTTACTTCTTATATTCTTCAGTTGACATATATTCAAAACAGAACAACCTCCCTTATAATAACAAAACAAAATTCTCCAAAGTTTTTAAAAGGAGCTGAATCTCTTGATGTGAGAAGATTGCTTTAAAAAAAGAAGAGAACAGGTCCTAGTGCTGTTATAAGTACTTCCTCACCTCAAGTTCCTCCAGTCTCCTCTCCCTGGACGGATGCCTACGCCCACCTCCTGACCTCACCCAACCAGAGCCAGGTATCTACGTGACTGTCCTACTAACACTGCAACCCCAGCATGCAGAAAGTCTCCATTCGTTATTTCTCTTCTGCATAATGCTTCCAGAAAGAAACCTACTGAATACCATGCAAGTAAAAAATTATTTAAGAAAATACAGAAACTTAGATTAGCAACATATTAAAAGACTTCTATTCATACTTTTGTGTACTCAATCTCCAAGGGCAGGTTTAGCTGCAGGATGAGACGTCCTCAGTGGTTTCCTTTCCTCCCAGCAATCAGTATATCTTACCTTCCACCACAAAGCAGCAATCCTCTTTCTAACTCGACCATCAAATTCTCATTCATCAACTCAAAAATATATACTGAATAAATACTATGTGCCAAACAGTGATCTGGCTCTGGGGGATACAAAGATGAACAATTCAGAAAGTTCTCTGCTCTCAAAGAACTTACTATCTAGTGAAGAACTATATATAAACATACATATACATATGTATACATGTATGCACTTACTATCTAGTGGAGAGCAATGCATAATATACATGCACCTAAAAATACATACATACATATAAGCTTATATTCATATGAAATATAAAAGGTGGTGGTAACTGCTATAATGAAAACAGAGGGATGCATGGGAGTGATTAGCATTACTTTTCCTTGAAGAGCTTTGAAAGGCCTTCTCTGAGAAAACTGGTATTTAAAATAAGACCCGAATGAGCTAGAGCCAGCCCTCTGAAAATCAATGAGAAAGGAATATTCTTCACAGAAGGAACAGTTTGGAAATGTTATATAGCTGAGGGCAGTGACCTAATGTAGTATTTTTTAGTGTCATTTTGCCTGCTCTGCAAGGTATGAATTGAGAAGAGTAAAGATGTGAACAGGAAGCTGATTAGGAAGCATTTGCAGTGGTGCAGGGAGAGACAGCTGTGTCGGGGCTTGGCTGGTAGGCAGACAGACAGGCAAAGTCCTGAAGTTTCTGTTATGGTAGTCAGCACAACTTGGTGATGGCTTAGATATGCATGATAGGGGATTGAGGGAAGACTCTAGGAGATTAAGCACGTTAACATTTAGGTATGGATTCTAAATCTCAAGAAACTACTTTTTGGCAGTTTGCAGGATGAGACATCCTCAGTGGTTTCCTTTCCTCCCAGCAATCATTATAGTACCATGTTAACATACACAGGACACAATGTACAACCTCCCCTGCAAGCAAAACCTTCCCCTATACAAGGCAGCATAACCTGCTAACTTAAAGGCAGATCAAATGATACCTCAATGATGCAATACTCATAAGAATCACATAACGACAAATTTAATGTAGCTTTTAATCCATAGTTTCTTGAATTAAAACTTCATAGAATACAATGACTGATGGAAACGAAAATAAAAAAAGAAGGGATTAACTGAAATATTTCTTGGGGGAAATGTCTTATTCCTAATCTGGTGGTGCTAATCAGAAATCTCTCAAGGGTCAAAGAGAAGGTGTGATTTTTTTTGTGCTTGAGGTGGAGGGGAGGTCACAGAGGGTTGGCTGCTTCTTTTAAAAACATTTGGGAAACATGTAATTAATTGCAGGACCTTTATTTCCTAAAGGAAAGATTCAAAGTAAAAAGGAAATGAAAGCTATTTCAGAGTAGGACAGTCCTCTAGATGGATGAACAGGCTCTGATAATGGGATCTCAGCAGAGAAAACAAAAGAATGGGGGGGTGAGGGAGTGAGGGTGATGGGTGGAATCTGAGACAGAAAGGAGGTTAATTCCAAAATGAAAGTTGTGCATTATAATTACAAGAAAAAAATCAACTAGTATTCAATATATTTCTTATATTCCTTTACTCTCCTCCTTTAATGTAACATAGTTCACTTCACCTTTTTGGTTTAGGGTTTCTTGCAGAGGAATGGGGGTAAAAATAATTTTTTTTTTTGATCCAAAGATATTTTATAGAATATTCACAACTTAAATTTACTTGATTGTCTAGAAGTAAAACTGCTAGATGGTATGCAACTCTTAAAAAGTTTTTGTTAAAAAAAA